TGATATCTATCCGACTGAAAATGAGATTGACGTGCTCACCGCCCGCTCGAAAAACTTCAATCTTGTCCAGAACTGGAACCGGTATTCGAAGCCGAACGCCTTGCGTGTGAACAGCATCTCCATCTGTGGGGTTCGCATGTATACCCTGACCCACGTTGGTCTGGCTACGCTGGCGGACCAACTGTCCTGGCGTATGACTAGCGTAAAAGTCTTCGGTATCTCCTCCGTTCGCGCTAAAAAGCAGGGTTCTGCGTGTCATCGCAAATCAAATCACGGCAACGCAGTCACTTGTTTTCCAATGAGATTACGATGTGCGAGGAATTAAGCTTTGCACGTTCTGGAACCCTACACCCGCGAGGGACCCGTCAAAACCCATGAAACCCAAGGCTTCCAACTCGGGAATCACCGTCTACTGTACCCGTCATACTGGTCCCGCTATGTTGGCGTCTCGTCTCATGGTGTATTTTCGACACATGACTGGTGCTAGAGATTAATTATTACCGACGGGATGACCTTGGTATTCGTCTTATACACAACCCGTCCTATTACTACTCCTGTGCAGCTAAACCGTTCTGCTGTTATACACCAGCACAAGCGTCTGTTGAGCAAGGAACATTCCAAATATCTTCCTCACGCCCGAGGCGTGGTGCCGGTCCAACGGCTAGCTCGCATCATGATCGATGCCCATCCCATATTGTACACTCCCGCGACATCTAGACCCATTGCCATCTCTTTCGTATCCACTTCAGGACATACACCAACAGCACAAGTACAGGAACCTCGATCAAGGGGCCCACCGTACTTGCCAGAGCCTGCCCGCTACCCGCGCCGTAGACCGCGACGACAACCGCAATAGCAAGCTCGAAGTTGTTGCTTGCAGCAGTAAAGCTCTGCGTGCAGCTAACTTTGTAGCTGAAACCCATCTTCCAGCAGAACCAGACCGTACTCGTAAAGATGACGATGAAGTAGACCAGGAGCGGCGCGCAAACCCTCAACACATCCGTAATCTGCCTGACAACATGCGCGCCTTGACTAGCAAAGAGAACGATGATCGTGTAAATCAGGCCGATGAGCGAAAACGGCGCGATATAGCGTATGAACCTGCGTTGATAGCGGTCCTCTCCCAGCATCGACCTGAGTGCCAACCTCGTAATCACAGCAGCACCAAGTGGTATCCCCAAGAAGACACCCACACTCTGCGCGACCTTCTCATACGAGATATCTGTCTTGTCCCCATGACTGACCACCTGAATATAGAACACAGCAAAAGGCGCAAACAGCACAATCTGCAATATCGAATTGAACGCTACGAGAACAGCGCAGTAGTCGCCGTCGCCGCCTGCGAGATCCGTCCAAATGAGTACCATGGCGATGCAGCGCGCGATGCCCACGAAGATGAGTCCTTCGCGTAGGTCCTGGCGGTCCGGCAGGAACGCCCATGCTAGGCCGACCATGAACAAGGGGGCGATGATCCAGTTTAGTACGAAGGAGACGGCGATTTGGATCCAGAGGTCGCGTTTCTTGAGGAGGAGGTGGAGCGTTTCGAAGCGGACTTTGCAGAGGATGGGATACATCATTACTAGGAGGCCGATTGCTATATAACGTGTTAGCATCTCGCATGATGCCTACGAGATAGATCATAGGATGAGGATGATGATGGAAGGAATGAGACATACCAATCGGTATACTGACGCCCACGAACTCTCCTCTCTGCAACGCCGGACCCACGGAGTCAACGGTATTCCCCAGCGCGATGCCGATGCCCATGGCGAGGATAATCCATACGACTAGGAAGCGATCGAGGAACGAGAGGCCTTTTAGAGGAGGAAGTTCTTTTAGTGTTGATGGGTTATTGCCTGTAGATGTAGCGTTAGTTTCAATGGGCGACACGACAGACTGAACTGCTATACGCAGTTTCAAAAGACCTGAAGAGACGAAGACGTACCCATCATATCCTCTCCATCATCCGCACCACCATTGACACCGGCTTTCTCAACATCGCCAGCCTGTCCATCTCTTAACCGTGCATCTTTCCCAACCTCCTCATCGCGTATCGCTCCTCGCTCAACAGTATCCATCTTCTTTCGCTTTCCTTTCCTTTTCTTTCTCTGTCCCTCTTTTTCTTCTCTTTTAGCAGCGCGTGGGTTTCACGATACCACGCGTTTGCAAATGCGCAATGGCACGCGTCTAAAGTAGGTAAAGTGATGATGGCAAAGTAGGCGAGTGCGGCCAATCAAAACGCAGCAGTGACGTTTTCCTGCCGCCAAGCCACTAACAGCGGGCGGTGAGGCGAAGTTTGGAAATGACGAACGTGATGGTGTTGGCGATCCTTTCGCGGATGCAGCATGCGCGTTCTTTGGCATGGCATTTCGCGGTGTCGCGTTTGGATAGCTGATGAGTAACTGGCTAGGCCTATCACATTGTAAGAGATGGAAACGTGTTCTTCATGTCATGGACGGGTGTTGGGATGTTTAATCCATTGAGGGTTGCTAACTACTGCTACTCCTAGTACGTCTTTCCCAGCCGAAACTGATCTCGACATCTGGAGTCTGGAGATGAGGGCTCTCTTTTTCCCTTCATTGCGGGTGATTCATAATGAGTGCCAAGTACAGTGTGCCCGTTTGTTGAATCCTGTATAACAACCTTCCACCCACGAACAAAGGTTCTTGAGACACTTGATCAGGCTATAGCGCGTCTCGTCGTCCCAGCCTTCTGGCACTTCATGAGACATGAACCCATTCATGTGGCTGTCTGGCACCCACCACCTCTCTCTCACGAGTTCATGCAATGAAGCAACATCCACCATGTTCATTGTCTTTTCCCTAACCCGAACACCATTGGGCAACGATATATTTTGCCAGTAGGTAACTCGCACGGGGAGACAGTGATGGTTGAGCTCGATCTCTACCATAGGATCTCGAACCCTCAGTGGAATCCTCGGTGAAATCATCAGTGAGTGCTCCATAAGAACCAAGACATACTTCCGGATCTCGCCAAGTGTTGTAATGTGGTCTCGGGTCTCATCACGGCCACATACACGAACGATGATGGTGGTCCCGGGTGGAAAAACGGAAGTGACCCGCAAGAGGTCCCTTGCGTCGATACGAACTGTAGCCAGATGTAGTAGCTCGTCTGTCTGGAACTGCAGAACGATACTTGGCGCAATCTTGTACCTCTGGGATGCTTCGATTGGTGTACAACTCCGCAGTCTTCCCTGTTTCTGGCCGTAATGCTGAACAACGCGGCGATCAAGCCTTTCAAACATGGCCGAGGAAGATCGAAGAGTATTTGAGCTCAGGAAAATGATGAAATCACTCTTGCAGTGAAAGTCGGAAGAGACTATAGTGCGGACTTGAACATTGACGTGGAGCATGCTGAGATTGAGCCCATTCGTAACGCCTGTGTTGAAGTTGTATGTGATCTCACGATTGGTGGACGCAAACCGAGCAATAGTTCTAACGACGTCGTTAGGCAGATTGAGAAGATTAGGTCGACTCGGTACAAGCTCGTATCCCTGTGTCTTCTCCGACAATTGGAATCGCTGTGTGACATCGGCCTTACGGCTAGTCGAGAGAAAGCGGATGGTACCTTGCTTGCCGTTCGGTGCCACTTTGATATCCCGTAGTAGACGGCGTGCGTTCTTCAACTTGAGTGTGTCCAGTCTTCCGAGCTCATAAAGGACCTTGGTGAAGTGCTTGGGGTCAGGACCCAATTCATCAGGGTCGGGGTATTCATCGGAATCGGGGTGTATACGACGCCCACTACTCTCGAAACGAACTGACAGATCGCGTGCGACTCCGTTCCAGAACACATCGAGAAACGGCAAGATATCTATGTCACTGCGGGACCACCTGTAAAAGTCTTCCCAAAATGGAAGATGATCATACGCATTTGATAAATGCGGAGCGTCCGTATCGATGACAACGGTACGCAATGCTGAGAGACTCGATCCGATCTCTTGCGTCCACTCCAGATATGCCTTTGTAGGAAAGAGAATGGTCCCTTCATCAAGGACTATGCCGTAGTTGAATTGGAAGATATTGTGGCCGTAGAGAACGCCGATTGCCTCATGGTAGATCTGGCGGCAAGTCTGAAGGATGGCCGGACTTCCTGAGAAGCTGCCAGTCTTGATGGCTGTGTCGTCTTGGCTGCTGCCCGCGATCAAGATGGGCTCGTCTTCTACTAGTAAGTATTCGTAGATTTGATTGCGCAGTTCGGCCGGGATGGTGAGTAGTGAGGTCGCAGTCGGGTTGCTGGTTTGCGAATACACTTGTGCGATCTGCCCATGAAGTATGGGATTCGGCAGTGGGAAGTGCATGACTGGATGAGAGACAGCGCTTCAGCTGCCAAGTGGTGGTGCCGCGGCGGCAACTGGAATTCGTTAGTAAGTGCACATACACAACTACAGTGAGGAAAGAGCCTACGGGATGGCTGTGGGCGTATCTGTATGCAAGCCTGGAGTTGCAGAACGCGCGAGTACAGTGCTCAGCGTGGCTCCCTACAACACGAGGGAAGCGACGATGGTTATGTGAGTGTCGGTGTTCAGGAATTCGCAATGAGGTTATTGTGCTTGAGCTTGGACCTTAATTGTCCTAAGAGGGAAGAGCACCCAGGCAGCCATTGTTTGCACTAGCGCGCTAGGAAGGTGTTTCGTTCACCCTACACTACGTTATCTTCTCATATCTGTACCCAGGTGATGGACAGTCCGCTGGCAATGAGCCTGCACGTTGACGGCGACGCACAACCGCAACTACTGGATGATGCGATTCAATTAATCTAAGGTACACCGGTCACAACGGCCAGGTGGTGCAGATGAAAGACACATTGTATGACGCGCACGCAGATGTTTGGGAAGTGATGATGGATTTGGGCTTCCATGTGGAGCGGTGTAATTTGGAATGGGTTACGCCCAGGTAGATGTGTGCTAAACCACTACTAAATCCATAAGAGAAAAGCGAATACATGAGGAAAGAACATGCGTGTGCATGGCGTTCCTCTACTTAAAGGCAGAGGTGCCAAAGACGCCAAAGAATGTCATGCATCGTCTTATTCTCCCAGGCGTCCCAGTCTCCGTCCCGTGATAGCCAACCGAAGCAGATCAGATTTGGGTTATCTTTTGTTGGACTGTCTAGTTGTTTGCACCAGCTAGGATTGCGCTTGTCAAATAACAAGACGAGGTCCGCCGAGTCCGAAATCTTCACCATGTTGACAACGGAACGTTGCATGCCTTCCCCGGTCCTCCGGATCGTAGCTCGCATGGGGACACACTGCTTGTTCAGCTCAACTTGAGCACTTAGCTTGCGGGTTTCTGCAGCTGTTTCTGGCTCCAGATGCTTCAAAAGCCGGTAGGTATCCTTTCGAACAGCGCTCAACCTTGTGGTATGATCTTGGATCTCGTTTTCGCCACCGCACACGCGAATTATAATCGCAGTGTTGGCTGGGAAAACCGAAGTGACGCGTAGGAGATCCCATGCATCAATCTGAACGGCAGCTAGGTGCGGCGCCTCGCTTGTCTGGAACTGCAAGATGATGGTCGGTACGTTCCCGTGCCATTTGCTTGCGGTAACCGGATTACAGAGTTTTAGGGACTCATAGTATCTTGATCTCGTCTGCGCATAAGTCTCCGAAACGCGAGAATCAAGTCTCTTGAACATTGCCTTGGAGGATTGGATGGAACCAGTACGCAGAAGTAAGGTAAAGCGGCTTTGGCGTAGAAACGATGGTGCAACGAGATTGCGAAGCTGAGAATTGACTTTGAGCATGCCGGGCTGTTGGCCAAGCGTGACACCGTTGTGGAAATCGTACGTGAATTCGTGATCGCCAAGTGCAAGACGAGTGATGGTATCTTGGACACGGTAAGATAAATCGAACATAGTCAAGGGGCTTGTCCGAGGAACAATTTGGTATCGCCGAGTCACCATTGACATCTCAAACGCGTGCCACATAGAGCCTCCCCAGTCAGTCGATCGATACGCAATCCTGCCTCTGGTACCGGACGTATACAGATAGACAGATTTGAGCAAGCGACGCGTTTTCTGCAAATCGAGTGCATCGTTTTTTCCTAGCTCAGAAAGAACGTTGGCGATGGATGATGCGTCATGCTGTTCCTCTTCGAAGTCGGATTCGTAGTCATCTAATTCATCGTCCTCGGCCATTTCAAACATGACTGATGTGTTGCGTGTGTCGCTGTTCCAGAAGACGTCCAGTAAAGGCAAGACGTCTATCGCCTGACGGGAATATTTGCGCACATCTCTTCCGAACATCCAATCTTCATACTTCTCCGGTATCTCGGGCACGTTCAGGTTAATGCTGATAGTGCGCAGTTTCGGAAGACAGGAGCCAATGTCTCCTATCCATCTTTTGCATACGTTGATGGGACTAATGATCTTAACCTTGAAAAGGTCGTCCTGTATGTTGTGTTGGAAGCGGAACGCATTCCGGCTGTAAAGGAGACCGACTGCCTCATGATAGATCTGACGACAAGTACGAAGGATAGCAGAGCTTCCTATGGAGGTAGAAGTCCCTTTGGTTACCTTGGTCTTTGTGTACTCAACCGTGGTGATCTCGATCGTTATAGGGCAGGGTTCCACAAGAAGATACTCGTAGATCTGGTTGCGTAGCTCAGGCGCGATAGTGAGTAGTGAGGGTACATCCGGTGCCACAGATCCGGAGCACGCTTGCGCGATGCGGTTGCGCTTAGGATCTGGGACTGGAAAGTGCATGGCTGCAGTTCGAGACGGTGATTGGGCTGGTGTTCGAGTGCCGCGGTCGGCGTAGGTGCGACTGGCAGTCATTAGTAAGTGCACAAATACCATACCCGTAATGAGCGAAGAACTTACGGGATAGCCTGCAGCGTTGTTGCAAGCGCTTGCGACACGACTTATCGCAATGTATTGCTGTGTTTCTGTACAAGACGACAGAAACGGTAGAGAGCAGGTGAGCGTCGGAATTGTGGAAGTTAGTGAGGTTGTAGCGCTTGGACCTCGCTTGTTCTGGAAGGAAAGAGCGACGACGGTTGTCCCAGAGCGCGAAAGACGTCTCTCACTCACCTGAATTACGTCATGTTGAAGCGATACCTCAGAAAACGTGATGACAATGAGTGACTGCGAAGCCTGATGCCAAAGAAGGAGCGACGATAACTATCGCATGAGAGGACGAGATACCCTGCTGCGGATGGTTACACTTCCAATGCGCGCAGATACCAGCAACATGAGTTGCATCTTCATAACAGCAAGACATCTGCATTCAACCCAACAATATCTAAATACGACCCCTCTCCAGAAATTGCTTCGGCAAATCCACAGTCTTCGCGCGCATGTATTCCATAGCATCTGCCACACCATTAGTAACTCTCCCACGAACAAACACACGCTGAACTTACTCTTCCCCAAAGTATCATACGAAGAACACGTATTATACCCCCCATCCCTCAAATGATCATGCAGCAAAAAATGCACCGACCGTATCCCCGCAATCTCAAACCTGTCAATCGGCTTCCCCTGGTACTCGTCCATACCCAGAAGCTGCTTAACGCGCTCAATCGTCATGAACGAGCGCAGCCAATCCCACTCGTCGTCGTGGCGCACGAAGAAGCCGCAGTTGCAGTCTGAGGCTTTGTCTCCGGAGCGGCCGGCTACGATGTAGCCTAGTGGTGCGCAAACGGTTTCGCCGAAGGAAGATGGGTCGACTGGAGAGGCGGTTTCGTAGGAGGCTTGTTGGCGGGGGTATTCTTTTGTGATGGCGGGTGGACTGAGGTCGGTGGTATACTTGTTGCCGTACATGGTATGGACGCGTAGGGGGAGTTGGGCTTGGGGGAGGAGCGAGACCCAGTAGTCGTAGTAGGGCTTTGGTGCGATCTGGCGCAAGTCGTTGGAGAGGGAGAGACCGGGGGCAGATTGGAGGAATACTTCGAGACACCAGCGGTTGAAGCCGTTGGGGATGTCGGGTCGTACTAGCTCGGGGTCGGAAGTCTGGGCGAAGATGCGGAAGTCGACTGTTGCTACGTCCTGGTTGCGGGCATCGATTGGTGAAGAGCCATTTTGGTGGAATCTGAGTGTCTTGAAGCGGTTTACGTTGTCACCTATGGCTATTCATCGTTAGTCTGAACTCGCCTTCGTCGAAACAACACGTTTGTGCTTACCGTAGCGGATCTGGTCTTCGGTGATCTTGCACTTCTCCTCGATATCGAGACCGCATACAAACATATGCCACTCGCATTGCCACCCAGCTGGAGCAGTAATACCTACCTTGGTCGTCGGTGGCGGAGGAAGACCTTTGACTCCCGTGACACGCACGAGATCTTCACCCACTTGCTCCATCTTGACATCGGTGATATCGGCCGTGACGTCACAATTGTAGTATAGCGGTCCCTGAATCTCGTACAATAGTTGTGAAGTGCATGTTCCGACGGTCACGCAACCTGTTTACGTTAGCTGCGTATCATTTTGGCTCAAGGTGCCGCCACCTACCTCCGGTATCTTTCTCTTTCGCAATGTTGAAGCTACCATCATATTCGACTTCCGCGATGGGAAAGCCCATGTTGATGTGCTTTCCAGTTTTCATGAGATCTTTGAACATAGAGTAGTATCCTCCAGTGACGTAGGCAGAACACTCTACAAGATGGCCTGCTATGAGCGCTCCGGCAAGTTCGTCAAATTGATCATTCTTCCAGTCGTGCCACCAGCTGAACATGTTAGCAGAGGCCAAAATAGTATCTTAACGACTTACGCCGCAGCACCAATGACTGGCGCAGCATCTGCAAGCCTTCCACCAAGCACAATATCAGCGCCCTGTCGGAAAGCCTCTGCTATGCAAAGTCCACCCAGATACGCTTGTGCGCAGATTGGCTGCATTCCCCATTCCTCCAGCTTCTTGCCATGCATCAAGCTTTCGAACTTCTCTCCCTTCTTGATTAGACTGTTGACCTGTCCCGTCACATCGTCTCCTTCTATCCATGCCACTTTGAGGTGACCAGCACCCGCTTTCTCCAACATGTCAACTACAACTTCAGCGAGAAGTTCAGTATCTGAAGCACCAGCATTCACCGCGAGCTTCGTCTTGTTCTTGACTAGATTCGGTATCGCTGGCTCGAGGCATTGGATGAAGGTATCGGCGTACATGGCGTTCTTCTTCCGGTCTTCAAGGCTCGTCGTGCCATTGGTGCTCTTCGTAGGCTTCTGCTTTACTTTGCCGCTACCATGTACGGTCATGGTCATTTCGGAGAGCCAGTCGCCTGTATCAGTCAGTTTGGATTTCTAGCCAGCTATCAGGAAGATCCTACCCATAACAACATCAACCTCCGGATCACCAGCCATCCTCATAATAGCAGTCGAACGATCCGTAAACCCTCCCGAGCATCCTGCGATGCGCACAGCGCGCTTGCGGTCAGTAGAAGGAGACATTTTCACTCTTTTGGGGTTCGGCGCCATATAGATCTCGTATCAACAATCTGGAAAAAAGATCAATTGCTCCATAACGGAGGGTCTCAAAGCTATATACCAGGCCGTCCAGGACCGGCTTTCCGGGGTACGGCAAGCCATCGAAGCTGTAGCAGGGCCGTTCCTCTGGTATCGTCCAATGGCGGCTATGCAAAAAGGTAGCGCGACCCTCATGTCATGTCCTGGGAGCTACTCGCGGATAATCTTGAACGATGGAAGACGATTTCCTGGGAGCGTATGGCGGGGTTGCGGGGAAGGAGGCGGACGCGAGCGCGCGGTGCTGCTGAAGGCCCAGAACTGTCTTCATTGTGATACCACCAACGGTATGATTTCAATGTGATGTCTTCATGTTGGAGTCGTCGATTTGCGCATAAAGCTGATGCGTGCTTGGCTTTCGCGCGTTGGTGAAAGGAAGAGGACTGTGACGCGCGATGTTCGCGATTCGGCTAACGACTCATTTTAGCCAGCGATGAGGTTTTGCATGACTCGGCGACTTTGTCCCAACTCCAGGAAGGAGTGCTCCGCATCATCTCGGGTCTGGCAGCGTCACGTCCTGGACATCACCACGAAGCACAGAACTGCCCAGGCCTATCTGCCCGTTGCAATCGGAATCATCGCGCGATCTTCATCGATCAAACGCCTATGCAGCGCGCTTTGTCCGACACAAGCCGCTAATCCTCCTGCCCATACATCCATCACAAACTCCAATGAGTAGCGCAATAGCCTTGAAAGGGGTTCAAGACAACGGCGCTGATACTCCCTCATTTACTAATGGCTTCTACTGGCAGTACATCCTTACTCGGGAGTCAAAACCTTCGATCTTGCTTGCGATTCTTGCATTCTTCGGGACATTGTGCAAATAGGCGGATACCTTGCGAAAGCAGTCTTGGTCGCATCGAACTCGACCATCAGCCAGGCAATCACTTTCACACCATGAAATTACACAAAGTACGAAATTCTAATCAAACAGGCAGAGCCTCTGTCTAGTCTCCCAATTGTGTAGTGTACGATGTCACTTAGGCATCAATTCACACCTCCAACAGCAACGTAAGAGAACCCCTTACCTGCCAGCGACCATGTAGCCCAACGCAGCGGTGAATAAGCAGAGAAACTAGGTGGTCTTCTACATAAGCGGTTCGAGCTTCGCCTTTCTTCATCTCTCCAGTTACTTACAAACCTACTTCAACCATGGACAAAACTCAAACTCAGCTGGTCGTCTTATTGGCAGCTATCACTGCCGGTTCGGTTGTGACTTTCGAGTACCTACGGTGGTCTGATTCACGGCTGAAGACTCAACCAGTGTCTTTAGTTGCACAGACTACACCCGAGACTCCTCAAGTTACGATTCATCCTGGAAAGAAAGAGGAGAGTGCTCGGCAGTCTCAGGTCGATACCTCCAATAATCAGTCTGTTGTGAAAACCACAGTAGAGACTCACCCCGAAAAACCCGAAGAGGGTGGTCAGGAGTCACAGAACGATGTTTCCGCGAACCCGCCTGCCGCCGAGACCACAACACAGCATCCTGGGGTTCCATGCCATTGCGATCCGTGCAAAGAGCACAGCCAAAGGTCTCAAATGGACACCTCCGCAAATCGGCCTGCCATGGTTTCTAGAGATAAGGAAAACCGAACTACACTCGATGTCCATCTCATCCAGTCGAGATTTAACTTCCAGTGCTCCTGTGACTTGCACGCAAAGCAGCTTTACTTCAACTGGCCTTGGACATGCAATTCCAAGCACAACGAGGACGACATCATCCTTCAACCCAATTCACGACCTACCCTAATCCAAGATCACGAAGATGGTATTTACGAACCCCTGTTACTGGCACACCGCACCATCGAGTACTTCTCTCGCCCCGAATCTGCCATGGACTCCAGCCAAACCGCGGCCCTTGCCCAATGGCGCAAAAGCCACGAACGCACCCGCGTCCTCGAAATGCTAGCCCAGCACGACATCCGCAACAAAGACACGCAGTTCTTAACAGATTGGGTCGTCTCGCAGCTCAACGAAATCTTCTTCTTCGGCGCAATCAAGAGCCTCGAAACAGTCTGGAACACCAATGAGCTGGACAGCGAACACGGCATACTAGGAGACGCAATTACAAAACTCAAAGACGGAAACAACCACTCGTTCATTCGCCTCCACCCAACACGTCGCTGCTACACACAATCAGAGTACAAGCGTACAGGCAAGACCCTCGCAGAAGAACGCATGGGATGCATTCTACACGAGATGCTACATATCTTCCTGGATCAACATATGTGTGAACTATGTGGTACGCCCGAAAATAGGTCTTCTCATGGAAGGGCGTGGCAGCGGATTGCAAGGAAGATTGAGGAGCAGAGCTTGCGTCTGTTGGGTATCGAGGCGGATGTGAATCGACTGTCTAGCTTTATGAATGATTGGCAGGACTACGATACTAGGGAGAATGTTAGTATTTGCGATTTGCAGGATTGGGGCTTTTGGGAGAGGCCTGAATATGACGTGTAGGGGCTGAGCGTAGACGATGAATACTGGGTAGTGTTTTTGTCTAATTGTTCGATGCTAGAGCGGAGACCATACACCCTGGTCGAGGATGAGTCTAGATACTCACATGTACTTTGATAGAAAGATGGTTATATAATTGAAATCACTCTGTCGCAATTGAATACAGTGCCAGATGCTTCATGTTGAGTTGCTGGGATGTTCAGCCTTGCCCCGCCTCAGGGTTGGACGCACCTTCCCCTGCCGGCATATCCGCCATCCAGGAATCTAGGGCACTCCGGGTTCTGACAAGGTTCTAGACTTCGATAGAACACCAACATACCATCGCGACATTCTAGGCAGTAACCAAATTTGCGTTCGCCAGCTCGCGCACTCTGTTCAAGCCACGGGTTCATTTCCCTGGTTGCGGCTGACGCTATGACGTCGCCGCCCTGTGCTCCGCGGTGCTTGTTCGATGAGCAAACGTAACCAGCCGTGCCAGCGTACTCGGAGAAGGGCACAATGGCAGCCTCTACAGACTCACCTGTTGTCACTGAACCTGAGAAACCGATGCAAATACGCACTTACGATCCATGCAACATTGTTACATCGTCGCATACCTGCTAATGTAGCCTACGCACGCCGCGCTTGACAAACTGCGGCATAGCGCCACCATGGACATCGACAGAGAGTTCCGCCAGGTCGATGAGCTCGATATTGGACTGGATCGGTCACATATCACGTATCAAGGTCAGATCGAAGTAACCGGAAGTCGCTCCGAAAGTAGCAATGACGACACACCTCACCCACACGATCCGTCGCCTGTATCATCCACTAGTAGGATAGTCAACAAGGTTCGCCAAAAGAAACACATCGCCGGTGTCAAGATCAGAAAGACTTTGCACATCGCAAAGGCTGAAGATGAAATCGATGAGCCTGATCCTGATTCGCTGGTGCTGGTCGATACGACGGAAGGAAAGCAGTCGAAGTCACGTCTTGACCACAAGTCCACGGCCTCAGAGAAACATACTTTCAAGGACCTCCTGCACAATCCGATTGATACGGTGAAATCCAAAGGATGGTGTCAAGGTAAGCGAGCTTTGTTTCAGATGGAAATGCGAAAGCCAAGAGGAATATACATGTTCCCACCGCGCCAGATTGAGCAGAATCTCACCTTGACGCGGATAATACATGGCTTGCTGACTGGAGACTTCCAGGAAACCAAGAAGTCGCAGCAAACATAGCTGTGAGCGAAGTTCCTCATGGCCAGGAAGTGGACTTGGTTAACGCCGCGGCTGCGATGGAACAGGCTACGACTACGAATGCGAAGGCACAAGCCCAGCAAACTTTCGCTGAGATGCTCAACCAAAGACAGAGCATCTATGTTCGATGGTCGCTAGATCGGCATGTGACAAAGATTAGGATCCTTCCTCGAGACACCGCAGTGCTCAAGCCCAGATCTGATTTCGAGAAGCAGGATGCGACAGGCTCCAGCGTCACTGACTGGAGAGAATATGGTTCGCACTTATTGGACTACTACGCTCACCGATACGGAGGTCAATATATAGGCTACGGATCCGATCCGCCAACTCCTAGCAAAGAGACAATTATGCCGAATATCGAGCGCCTCATCGTTGCGACGTCGCCTTTCCAGGAGTTCATCATGACCACGCGCCGCGTATACCGCTGGGAGAAACCTCTCGAGACAACAAAATATCTGGTAATCTACCTGATCCTGTGGTATTTCAACCTACTACTACCAGGCATAATGTCAGCGCTACTGTACCTGGTTGTCGAGCGACGCTGGCACGGACAGTCCATCCAAGACCTCCGCGAAGACATCGAACACAGAGAAGACGTGGAGAGAACGGCATTATCACTTACCGAGTTCATCGAGAAACAGGGCGACGAGAACTGGGCACACGACCTGCTTCAAGACCTTGGTCCTTGGCTCATGGTTCAGCTAGCCGACCTGGCCAACTTCTTCGAAAGTGTCCGCAACTTCTACGAGTGGAGGAAGCCAATGCGCACGCTGGCTGTAATCGTCGTTATGACTGTCGCCATTCTCATCACGGTCTTCACGCCTCTTTGGCTAATCATCAAGATGTCTACGTTTTCTGCTGGTTTCACCTTCTTCTGCCTCTTTCCCGTCTCGGTCAACTTTCCAAATTACCGCCTGCTTGTCTCGCCATCTAAGCGGTTGCTCTGGAACATACCAACACACGCAGAGTGGGCAATTCAGTACATACAAGCCGAAGGCCTTCGTGTAGTCACGGAGAAGCAGAACACCGATGCCAAAGCAACGGATTTAAAGTACACACATGATCTCAACGAGTCTGCCTCACCGTCCAACCAAGACTTCGCCTCCTACCGCTCACAATTCGACAAAACGCCCGGACACCTTATCATCAATGCAACTGGAGTACGCTTCGTCGCAAAACGTCCGCCACATGAAGTCCGCTTCTCGCTGCCATATGTACAGATCAACCAACTGGAGAAGCAAGACCGATATGTGGAGAAGATGATCAAGGTCCTCAAGGAGTGCGATAGAGATCTGAGTTTTCTGGATAGGAATGGCCATGAGTGGATCTTGCATGAAGTCGAGAAGAGAGACGAGGCGTTTAGTCAGATAGTCGGATTCAGTCGGACGACATGGCAGGTTTTGTGGTAGTACAATTCATCTCTGAACATGAAGACAATTCTCATAAAGAAGCCTTTCTATAATACAAACTTCACTCCCCGAGCACACCAATAATCAAACCTTCTCAACCCCACTGCTGTCTCCCTCCACACCCACAATCGTAGCCTCGCCATTCCCCAACGTCTCCACCAACCGCCTCGGCCCAACATACCCCCTCTTCCTTATCCACACATACCAGCCCCCCAGCAGAATCGTAACCCCGCCCACAAGCGCACTCGTATAATTCATCGTCGTGGTATCAAACGGCACCGCGAACGGGAAGCAGTAAATCGGTATCCACACAACCATGTACCCACACGCTATACTCGCAACCGTATAAAACACCGGCGTGGGCATCGTAAACGGGCCCGAGATAACGTGGCGGCGCCGAGTCAAGATATTGGGTAGGATGAAGGCGAGGTACGACATCGAACTCAGCACGATGAAAGAACCCACGAAAGCCGAGAACGCGGTGCTGGACCCGATGTATATGCATCCGAGGATTGTGTTGATACCCCCACAAGCCAACGTCGCATTAAACGGATTCTCCCACTTCCTATCCACCTTACCCACCCACTTGCTAAACGGCGTCGCGTCATCTCTGCCCAGCGTCCAGAGCATGCGGCCGGAAGTAATATAACACCCGATATTCGTGCAGAATGTCGGGACGAAGATGACGAGTAAGAGGCCGAGGGAGCCGCCGTGCGTGTTTGTGGCCTGCCGGTATAGCTCGGCGAGCGGGAAGGGCCAGGGGTTTGAGAAGAGACTGTCTAGGTCGTTTACGGCGTAGAAGATTGTGATGAGGTAGAGGAGGGCGGTTAGGAAACCGACGGTGTATTGCGCGAGGATGGCTTTGGGGATGTTGGTGCGGGGGGAGGGGAGTTCTTCTGCGAGGTGGGATACGCAGTCGCTGGGGGTGGTTGTTAGTATGGCATTTGTATTCTTTGGTTGGTTGATTTTTGAGGTTGGGGAAAAGGAAAGGGAAGGTAGATGGATGGGCTGGGATAAAACTCACGGCGTCCCCACAGCAAAAGCCCCATTCAACATGCCCGCGCAAAACACAAATCCATCGCTCTTCCACCCCGCCTGGTTCTGCCAGTCTTTCCACACAAACTCGTTGCTCGCGTACCCTTTTCCGGTTCTACTAGGCATGATGGCGCAGACCATGATGGTAACGAACACACCCATGAGGATGAAGAAGAGACCGATATTCGTTAGTTTAGGCAGCGCGCGATTGGCGAACATGACGACGAAGCAGGCGAGCCAGGTGATGATGAGGTAGGCGATGAAGACGTGCCAGCGCTCGAAGGCGTAGCCGGGGTGGAAGAGACCGTACATGGAGATGATTTGGTTGGCGAGGATGGAGGAGATGGATGCTGTGCCGAAGATCCAGCCTAGGGCGTTCCACCTGTGTTGTCTTAGCTGTGCCCCTTTTCTGTATCATATTATGTGTTGGATTAGGTTGAGTGATACATACCAGCCAGCGTAAAACCCAATCACTTTTCCAAATCTGGCTCCACCTGTGACGGAAGCCCAGTGGTATACACCCGCTGATGAGGGGATTGCAGATGCCATCTCTGCGATACACGCCGCAATCATGAAGTAGCAACATGCTACGGCGATGAATTCGTAGATGACACCTGCTGGGCCGCCATTGTAGAGCGCAATGACCTAGGCAAGGTTAGCATCTTGTATCCTATGAATTCGTACTAGAGAAGAGGATAGACGTACGATAGACCCTCCCAACGCAGCCCAAACATTCCCCGTCGTAATTCCAATCGCACAGATACTCAGTAAACTGAAATTCCTCTCAAGTTCCTGTTTGTGACCCGACGCGTTCAGGACTTCGCCAACGCCTGTCGCTTCATCGATATCCTCCGGTCTTGGCTTCTCAGCGGACTTCTTTTCCAAATCCATCTTCGGAAGTGGTAGTACAGCGTGAACGATACGCCAATAACCGTAAAAGTTTTGCTATTGCGACGTGATGCAATGCGTAAGCAGGAGGTCGTTAATGACTGGGATACACGCAAAAGCGATAAGTACCGACGTAACAACAATAACAACAATAACAACCCTCCTCTCTGCCTAGACACGGCCAACCGGAGATTAATACCACCAATCGATCAAGTCTAGACGAGTGAGCAATCGAGTGGACTCGCCGTGTCGATCGCAGATCAAACGGTCCTACGCGGGAATCGTACAAGCAAACGTCCCACCCAAGAGATAAGGAAGCAAAGAACGATGAATCTGGCAGAGAAGAGTGTAATGACACGGAGGAAGAAGGAAGGAAATGTGCAATTCACGTCTTACTCTTATGACGGCCCGCGACTTCGCACGCCTCTATCTACGTCGTTACGTTGTGTTGTGTCAAACATAACAGTGACATCTACACGTAAGTACGTATGCTAAGCGACGCGACAACATTTCCAAGACGGGCAGATAAAGCAGCCCTACCAGCACCCATGCGACTTCCGTACGCACTAAGCGTACCCATAGCCCAGTGCTAGATGCCGTCTCTACGCCCCGGTCACGGCCGTCACGCCAAAAGTCAGCCCCAGCGAAGCCAGCCCATCCCAAAAAAGTCTGACCTACATACTATAGTACAACGTGCGAGCATCCGACCATCTCCGCACTCCCGCAGCTGGAATGGATACCGTGGAGACGGGTGACGGATATCAGACCTCAGGGAACACTAATCACGTTGTGTTGCATGTCGAACTGATAAGAGACCTTCAGGCGAGAAAGAGGCCAGGGGTGTAAGATAAGTAAAGATCCCGGGGTTATGGATCCAGGAACGACCCGACCAATGAGGAGTGCAGAGTGAGGTTTGGTGGAGAGGCATCCCGGGAGATACGCGCATTTGGATGCGGAGATATCTTGGGTAACGAGGTGGCGTAAGGCGAGATAAGTGATTGAATCATTACTCCGAATTGGAGTTTGGAGGTGAGATCGGGAGATGTTGGTGGAATGTTTTTACCGGGCTTGAAGAGTCATTAGGAAATTTACAACGGTTGATGCTGTTCTCTGCTCTCCCCACATGAAGTCTGGAATGTGGGTTTGATGCGTGTTGTGACAGAACGGAAGACGGGCGTCCATCGAGCCGCTTACGCCCGCGCTATCCCCCACGCGTGCTAAGCGGCTCTGGTAGTCCTCCATTGGTCGTGCGACTTGATACCATGCGATGCAGTGACATTGGGGCGTAAATTGAGATCCATGGAGAAACAAGGGCGTGATACGCCGACAATGGCTGTGCGGTCGGGAAGTACAAATGTCTTCAGCGAAAAAGAAAGTAGATTGGTCCACCCACGTCCAGTGCATTGTCACCACAGCTTTTTAGGTGACATGCGCTATATGCTATATTTCTTAGATACTGTACACAAAATAAACAAACGCACCTTCAACTCCGTGTTCCCATGTCATGTCGCTCTGCCAGAGGTCCAGTGATTACATACGTTTCGTCCTCATTTACGCGTGAGCGATATCCGTTTCTAGTGACATATTCAATCCATCTTCAATCCAACTCATTCCGTGTGAAAGAAAGTAGGCTCACGCGCTGCGCATCTCGGTGTCCTCGGCATCGTCCACGTCGCCAATCTTCCGCTTGCTAGGCGTCGCGCTGCCCTCGTCGCCGTTGTCGTCGCCCTCGGTCCACTCGGTGACTTCCCACTCGACGTGCACGCCGCTCTCGGAGTGTCCGCCGCGCTGCTGCTTGAAGCGGCCCAGGCGGGTGTTGCGCACGATCTCTTCGAACCAGGGCGCACCTCGCGATTGAGGTTCTGAGCGGACGACTGTACGCGAGCGGTTTGTCCGTGAGGGTCCGGCGGCGGATGTCTCGTCTTCGTCGTCGCTGCTCTCGCTGCTGCTGGGCAGGAAGCCGAGTTCGCCGAGCATGTCTTGGTCTTCGTCGAGCAGGCTGCCGACGGTCAGGGAGATGTGCTCGGCCTCGTCTCTCGTCCGCTCATTCCATGACGAGAGTTGTGTGCCGCAGTATCCGCAGAACTGGCGGCGTGTATTCGAGGTGTAGGGGTTGACGAAGCTGCGCTTGATGCTCAGGCGCGTCTCGTCGGGGTATTGTGCAAACGTCGCCGAGGTGTACCATGGCAGAGGGACGCGGAGCCAGAGTGTGAGGGGGTTCGCTGAGTGGTGTCCTAAGTGTTGTTAGCACCGTGTTGGAGGGTAGCGCGCGGCAACCCAAAGCAGATGTGGGCTGCACAACACTCGGCATGTACTTACGTGACGCAGAGGTATTGTCGTATCGCAGCTCGGCCTGGCGGATCTGCTGTGTCGGCATCTCAATGACATAGCGGTTGCGTCCGCACGCGCAGGAGCCGTGCAGCGTCTGAGTCGCCATTCCGGGCTCGTAGAGGTTTGGATGAAAGCGGTTCGCGTGGTGTGTTCTAGTGCAGACAATGCCTCTGCCCATATAACTCGCGATTGACGTGTTTCAGTGTGTGCGGCGTGGCGTGTGGAAAGAAATCGAAATTGGCTGCTGCCCGTCGCGCCTTCCCCAGCTGTTGTGCAACGGCCCGTGCTGCGATTGGTTGACTGTCAGCCTTGTGGTATGCCGACCAAGGTTTACCCTTTCACGTCACCTGGACAACTGTAATGGCCGTGTAAGAATGAGATGGTCTTTATTTCAAGTCGGTAGCTATAGAGGATGTTCGAGATATTCGTCGCGAGGCATATGTACTGCGCCATGCAAAAAGTGACAGCCATGGACCCTCGTGATACAGCCTGTCGTCATGTGTGGGGAAGCTCATGAGAGAACATTCGAGCACGCCCTGGCCCCTTCGCGAACCAGAACCTCGAGCTGTCGTCAACCACTCTTCTTCTTTTCTTCTTTCCTCATCTTAGCAACACTCTCATTTACTCTCTCAATCGCCTCCCTCGCCCCATCCCAGCACTTCCTCTTGCCCATGCTGAACACGCGATGTATGTGCGGACTCCATATCCCGCCCATCAGCAGGTTGCAGAACTTCCTGTTCTGAAGCCAAAACAGCCAGCCTTTCCGCCCGTATCCCAGGTACTCATTGACACCCGTACCGGCAAGATCGTCCATGGCCGCGACCCAGTCACCTGTCTCACATTGCCCGGGCGACAAGTTGTAAACACGCTTTGCCGTCTCTGCTAACCACACGTGGTGTTTATCCACAGCGAGCTTCATATCCGGAAGCGAGGGTAGAGATGATTTGCCCGCCCAGACCTGGGCTATGGCCATGGTTGTCAAGTCTAATCGTCGTCAGCACATGTCTCGCCTAACCATCATACCTAGAGTCGCTCACCGAAAATCTTAAACCCACTAATCGTTATGTGTACAGTAGCCATGAACGCCAGACTATCCGGCTTCTCGAGTGAAAACACGTTCTTGTAGAGACGGAAGAGCGACTTCCCATTCGAGCCCGGCGCGTCAAGCCACGCTTGAGGCCGACATTCAGGATTGAAACGCGGCTCGATCATGCTGAAGTCGGACTTGTAGCCCGTACACCAGATTATTGCGTCCACGTCAACTTTTGTCCCGTCTTGCAACTCTACCTCAGTAGCATTCACAATGCGCTTGATGCCTGCGACTGATGTGATGCTGCCGTCCTCGAGGCAGGGGACTAACGTATCAGATACCACTGGTACCTTACTTGCGGGCTCGAAGCGCCATTCAGGGCGGATGTTGAAACTCTGGTCTTGCAGTTTCTGGAGGAATTTATCGAAGAGGAACTCGCCGAGGCGGGGGAAGTATGTTATGACGAGGCTTTGGAAGGTGGCGAGACGTAGGTTGTGCGTGTGGTCTATCGGGACACCCTTTATGCGCCGCGGGAACTACAAGAACCATTGTCAGTCTCAAGACTTTCGCACATCAACCAGGTTCCCTTCCAACTTACAACCCGAGCTCCATGCCGATGTGCCAAATACACTTTATCTGCTATTCCCACCAGCTGAGTAGATGTATCCGCCGCACTGTTGCTGAACCCTACAACCATGACTCTTTTCCCCTTGTAGTCTGCCGGCCGTTTGAAAGCTTGCGAATGTACACTAGGTCCAGCAAACCTTTCCACGCCTTCTATGACTGGCAGACTGGCCTTACCAACCATACCCCCAATCGCTACAACAACTTTATCAAAGTACTCCTTCACGCCACCTCTTACATCCACAACCCATTTCTCCCGCTCGTCATCGAACGTGATCTGCTCGATGGCAGTACTAAGCCGCATATATGGTTCCAATCCGAAATGCTTCGAATAGTCTGTCAAGTATTGCTGAACCTGCGTGGCCGCTGGATGTGACGGTACGTCGTCCGGGTAAGGGAAATCAGTGTAACACGATCGCTCTTTTGAGACGTTTACGGTTGTGGTTTGCATTACCGATGTTTGCTCTTTCTCCGAGTACTGCCATAATCCGCCGACGTGGTCGTTGCGGTCGAAACCTGTGGCGTGGAATCCTTCTTCTCGCAGGTTCTTCAATGCTACGAGGCCAGCCGGTCCTGAGAGGTTCGATTAGTGGCTTCGTTATGTCAAGTAAGAGGTATCTCACCTAGTCCAATGACTGCTACAGTGGGAGCGTCTTCCATGATGCTAGTCGTGATGATGCGTCTTTGCGTATGTTTTTCGCCACCTACTTTTCAGACCAACACAGCGATCGCAATCGACTCCGCAACAATCGTGTTGTTTAGTAGATTTGGTAACCGTAACGCGATCAGTCTCACGCCGAAAGCGAGTTGACCCTAGATATCGCGTGTGGACCTTACGGCCGTGTCGTTAGGCCGAGCAAGTCCGACACAAGTGGAAAGAAAGACCAAAGATATACTTGACGTCGCGCATTCTGCCAACACATCTAGCTCTTACATGCTTTACCATAACACACATGATGCGCTCTCTTAGCTCTGACATCTTGGTGTGCCGGAACAGGAGAGGCTTAGTCCGTGTAATTGGCTCTCCACGGCCACAGCGACGCCCGAGGCTTATGCCACGGCCAGCCCCACTCTCACACACCGTTTCCCATCTCAAGTGCTGCGCAGCTGCGGCCCTCTTGCCCACGCGTCATATCTGACAAGTTGTGTCGTTTTACTGGACGTTGAATAGTGCTAGACAAAACGCGTGGTTTCGAGTTGAAAGTTGCGATTGGGCATCTCCCCGCATCTGAAGGCAGCAGCTTCCTGTGAGGCTGTGCAGGGCAGTGGAGTAGGTACGAATAAACAAGCTTCTAGTTTGTCTTTACGCCTCAACCTTAAGTACGCTTTCTCTAAGTTTCACGTCTTACTTTACTTCGTCACATCGAATCAATACTGGCCTTTGTGATTTACTTTGATCATGGCCGGCCCACCATCATACCCCGCCAATACCAACCTCACATCCAACCCACCACCCCCATCGACATCATCACAGTCCAACGCCGCATTCACACCAAGCGCAACCTCAATCGCCGACTCCTCCGATAACGAGTTTGAGCCAACCCCCGTCCACAGCCCAGGCGGTCCCCAGTATGAAGATTTGCCACCATCCTACGACGAGGCCCGCGACCAAGCCGTCCACGACACCCGTCATGGAATCGCGCCTGTAGACCCCAGCCAAATCGAAGCCCACCGCATCACCACCAACGAAGGACCAAACGAGCCAGAAGTATGGGAGTACCGTATAAGAGGTGAAGAAACAGATCCCGCAAGTGAACAGGAACAAGCACCAGACTATGCGAATCACACAAACGACAAGGCCACCAGTGTCCCAGTCCAGCATGTCAGTACGAGTAAGAACATCGCTGTGGGACGAGTGCATGGCGGATCTGCTTCCTCGAGCAGCAAAGAAAAACAGCCTGATCTAGCTTCTGACTTGCTCACTCAAGCTCTGGAGTTCAGCCGTGAAGAACCAGATGCTAAGGCGCAGTATGCACCGCATCTAAACCGCATCATCGCGATACCCGAGCATGCAGGACCGGCAAGACGTGTAGACGAACACGTATACTTCTTAGTAGCGTACGCCGAAGTGTTGGATCGACATTCCATTAAGCCAGCCGAGTTTGCAGAGTTCTTGTACGGTCTACAAGTCCTGACCACAGCGGCGCACACGACGGCTGAAGACTTGCTTCAAAAACCGTCCCATCAAGGACTCTCTTCCAGCATCGTACACGACTACATCCGAGGAGCGAATGAAGCCTTCTTCGCGCCAAGAGGTCTCGTTGTATCGTTCCGCAGCGAGACTGCCTTACTCAATATGCTACCTATACCAGCGGGCCACAAACCCAGCGTCCTCGCCAACTTGGCCGATAAGACTGCAACGACTGAATGGCGTGCAAGGCAATTATACCCCTGGGTCGAAGCTCTCGACGCGGACGCAGTGCCGATGCCGAGCGAGCGAGTGCTTAAGCTGCATGAGATGAGTGAACGATTCTCAGGTCCGACGACGGCTACTGGCTCGTCTGACTATGCCGGAAACAGCGATCTTGGATCTGCTGGTGCACATGAAGACCCACCCCACTCCATCCCCGGTCCTCCAGAGGAATCCTCCCATGCACATGGTCGACACGGACGAGGCGCCCATCATCCCCGCGGCAGACGAGGCGGTCACTGGTCGCCTTTTGGTGTGCCAGGCCATGGCCCCTTTGGTGCACCCGGCAACGGACCTTTCGGCCAACCCGGCAATGGCCCTTTCGGGCGCGGCGGTCGAGGAGGACCATTCGGACCCCGCGGCAACGCCTTCTTCGGTCGAGGAGGTTGCTCCCCTCGCGGCGGACGAGGACGCGGACGCGGGCGCGGACCCCCACAGTCCGCAAACGAATGGGCGGAAGTAGGCAAAGAATTAGGCAAGATTGGGGAGCAATTTGGTAGACATATGGGGGATCTAGGTGTGGAGATTGGGAAGCGGGCGAGTGCTTTTGGCGTGGAGGTGGGGAGGATGGCTGGTGGAAATGGAAACGCAGGTGGAAATGCAGGCGGAAATGCGAGTATGGGTATGAGTGGGAACAGAGGGTCTACTACCTCAGGTCCTGCTTCTTACCAACAAGTCCACGACGACCTCCCACCTGCCTATGCTGCACCGCCGGGACAAGAGACAGGCGTGCTATATGGTGACCGCAAAATCGACACGGCATATCCCACCGACACGAAGGACAAGGGCAAAGCTGCAGTCAAGGACGTGGATGACGACGACGATACCTCTTCCCTCTCATCTGATAGTTCAGACTCAGATTCAGACTCAGACCCAGATTCAGACTACGACTCCGACTCCGACTTCACCCCCTCCACAACCCAATCCCTCAAACTCGCCCGCAGAAACATCAAGCAGCGGAACCGCCAACTCAAAAAGGACCACAAAGCCAAGAAACGCGAACTCAAAGCCAAACACGCTGATACCAACACCAAGGGCAAAGGAAAAGCGGCGAAGAAAGCGAAGAAAGACCCAGAGTACAGAGCCGCGAAGAAAGAGTACAAAGCGCAGAGGAAGGAACTGAAGAAAGAGAGGTTGGCTGTGAAGAGGGAGTGGCGGGAGGCGAGGGAAGAGATGAAGAGGGAGAAGAGGGGGGTGAAGGGTATGGCAGCTGGGAGTAAATCGAGAGAAGTGCCTATGAAAGAGGGAGAGAGGAACGAGGGGATTTGGTTGGTGATCGAGAATTTGGCGCCTTAGATAGATGGAGGGTGATTGTACTGAGTTTGTGGAGTGTTGATATAAATGAGATTTAGGTGGGAACATCCTATCCGCAGCCACAAATTTATCACATCAAAAACACAGAATCAATCACATACCAACCCGCACGCCACGAGCATTTTGAAAAAGATCTTCCTTGTCAAAATACAGTCCGGTCAAGTACTTCATACAAAAAACTACAATAGTAACCTATGCCGTCTAAAAACGCTTTCACAGCAATCATCTTACTATGCACATATTTCCCCTCCTTCCTTCGCCTGCTTATGAAAGCATCCTGCTCATATCATTCCTAATCCTGTTGTAATCGAGCAGACCCTCAATCTGGCCCACAGCCGAGACAGCGACGTCCTTGTCCCACAGCCTGTTGCGGGCGAATTGCATAACGTCCTTCTCTGTGATGCGGCCGACGACGCGCTCCACCTCCTCGGGTGATAACCGGCGGCCGGTGGTGACGATTTGGCGGCCAATGTCCTCGGCGACGGCCGTGGTGCCGTCGAGGGCGAGGAGGATCGAGGCCTTGAGTTGGGCCTTGGCGCGCTCGACTTCGGCGGACGTGACGTTCATGGAGAGGCGGGACCACTCGCGGAGGGTGAAGTGGACGAGGTCGTCGAGCTGAGTCAGGTTGGAGCTGGTGAGGTAGATTCCCCAGAGACTAGGGTTTGTTAGCGAATATTTATAGCATCATTCGATTATGACGTACCCAGTGTCCGAGTAGCTGGTGGAGAAGCTCATGAAGCTGTTGGCGAGGGCGTTTTGCGAGACGAAGTTGCTGAGCTTGCTGCCAAGGTAGTCGGAGGTACCCATGGCACGGTCCCAGTTACCGACGATAGCCTGTGTGACGAGCGCGGTGAAGTAGTCGGGGTCGCTCCAGCTGACACCCTCAACGGCAATGGCGATGTTGGCGGTGCCCATGGTGTCGTCACGGAGGCGGACCTCGGAGCCGATGAAGTCGGGCTTTGCCTTTTGCTCAGCAGCGGCGGACTTGGCGGAGTAGTCCTGGGGCTCCGAGGGGAGGTTGGCGAAGTACTTCTCGGCGAGGTCGACCAATTGCTCGTGGGGGATGCCACCAGCGCCAACGAGGACCATGCGGTCAGCGGTGTAGTTGGTCTTGATGTAGTTCTCGAGATCGGCGCGCTGGATGCTCTGGATGTTCTCCTTGGGTCCGAGGATGGTGCGGCCGAGGGGCTGGCCCTGGAAAGCGGTGGCGTGTAGGTGGTCGAAGACAACCTCCTCGAGCTGCTTGTCCACCTCTTCCTGTTCGCGGAGGATGACATCACGCTCGCGCTCGATGGCCTGGGCCTCGAGCTTGGAGTTCTGGAGGATATCGGAGAGAATGTCGACGGCGGCGGGGACATCGTTGTTGAAGGCCTTGGCGTAGTAGACGGTGTTCTCGCGCTGTTGTGGTCAGTATCCGGCCCTGGAAATTGTTTGCTCCGTATGACGTACCGAGGTGTAGGCGTTGAGGTGGCCGCCCATGTTTTCTATCTCGAGCTCCAACTGCTGCTGTGTGCGCTTCTGGGTTCCCTGTGCCATGCATCAGCGTGCTGTCCCGGCCACTGCCATTGAGTGTCTGTACCTTGAAGGCAAGGTGCTCCAGGAAGTGGGCAGTGCCGTTGGTCCTGTCCGTCTCGGCGCGGCTGCCAGCGTCAATCCAGACACCGACTGTCGAAGTCTGGGCCCACGGGGAGTGCTCGGTAGCGATCTGCGCAGGCGGGTCAATTGCAGTCCTGCATCCTCGTACAGTGGCGGGCATACCGTGAAGCCGTTTCCGAGGGTGGTCGACTCGGTCTTCGCGCCGTAGGCAACGGGCGTGGCCAGGCCGCGGGTCAGAGGCGAGGCCCGCGATGATTTGACGGCGTTGATGGCGGAGCGCGAGCGCATGCTGCGCTGCAGGTTGAGGGCGAGCTGGCGGGAAGCCATTGCGTCTGCTCGCTGTGCAGGGGATGGGAGATGGGGCGGTGATGGGTTGGGGTGGATGTCGATACGTCCAGCTGCAGCGCGGCCTAGGTGAGGTGGATGAGTTTCGTCAAATCTGCGATCACGGGACTTTCCGGCTGCCACCGCTGGCCAATGAGGGCGCCAGGGACGTCAGCAATCGACATCCGAGGCATTGTCGTCAACTACGACTGCGATCCCGATATTGCTTCTTGCGACCTCCACGACCCCAAGCAGACAATCAGACTGCACAATGGCCTCCGTCATGCGTCCCGGCCTCCTCAGGCAAGCTTGCCCGCCCGCCCAGCCCTCGCAGCGCATGCTGTCCACCGCGACCTCGACCCTCAACCGCCCGCTCGCCCAGTCGCTGCGACCAGCATTCCAGCGCTCAGCCATCCCCCAGTCGACCCGCATCGCCGCCTTCCACGCCACACAGCGCAACCAGATCCTGCCGCCGCTGCCCCAGAAGATCATCGGAACCACCAACGACCCCGTCCCCGTGCCAGATCCCGACTACGCCCACGGCAGCTACCACTGGAGCTTTGAGAGGATCGTCTCGGCTGGTCTGATTCCCTTGACCATTGCGCCCTTTGCTGCTGGATCGCTGAACCCGCTTTCGGATTCGATCCTCTGTGCTCTCCTGGTAGTCCACTCGCATATTGGATTTGAGTATGTAGAATGGATGCGTATTGAATTACAGTGGCTAACGTAAACCAGGTCCTGCATCATCGACTACTTCCCCACCAAGCGTGTTCCCCTCGTTCGAAAGTCTGCCATGTGGGCTCTCCGCGCCGGAACTGTCGCATTGGGTCTTGCTCTCTACTCTTTCGAGACAAATGACGTTGGCATCACCGAGGCCGTCGCGAGGTTGTGGCACGCGTAGATACATCTTGGGACTTGTAATACAAATGCAGAGGCAGCGCTTTTTTCTGATTGAAGTGTCGTATCATTTGGAGTGTTGTGATGGCTCTGCTTGTCGTTGTGCTTAACGTCATCAGTCTTCGTCATTCTAGCTCCGCCTTTCTACATGCTTGTCAAGACATGGTCTTTGCGACCTAGGAGATACAAAATCGTCTTGCTTGCATGTCTACCCAGAGGATATGCTGAGCATAGAGATTGGCTTATCTGAATGTGTAGTGCTATTCAACACTAAGATATTTGTCCGACTGATGATCAATTCATTGACCGTGGCTTAGACAAGTCCAGCCACGCCAACCTAGGAAAAGACTGAACAGTCTGGAGCCTACGTTGATGTTGGGTCACCTACTTTACATGTTTTTGTCCTGATGTAGTCTGCAGACCTGTGCAGTTTTTTTCTATGTGGTTGATACTCTCAGCGTGATTATGTCCTCCATACTGCCCCTACCTACTTAGTCTCAACCTTCCACTGCTCCCAGTGCGATTTCTTTGGGTTGCAGACAACGCCCAACGCCTTCCTCATCTCTTTCTCATCCACTTCCTCGTCCGCTTCATACTTCGCCCTGAGCTTTTCGGGTAGCACTTCAGACACGTCGTAGAAACACTCCAGCACAGATTCCATAATAAGGCTTTTTTCCACTGCGTTCCTCACTCCCAAGAATGATGTTTTGTTCGGTCCTAATCTCATAAGTAGCCCCCAGAACGGGCAGACCATGCGACAACATCCTATCGGGCAGTATGCATTGGTCACATCGAACTCCAGATAGTTGAGGCGGATCAATGGAAGCTTCTCGCCGTTTCTGAAGAACTTGGACAGATCATCGATATAGTCATCCAAGTCGTCTGCCATATTTTCTGTCGCCCAATCATGTACGTATTTAAGACGGGCGGTGGAAACCATGCTGTCGAATTCGCCATCCTCTTCCCAAAGCGAGTGGTTATAAGCGTATGGGGACGAGCTTTCATCGGAACGTGTGCTAATAGCTACGCTGATATTCTTAATCAGACGAGAAGCTGCAGCGGAGAACAGCCACCGGTCGTGAAACGGTATATGGCTGATGTTCGGATCTTTGCGAGCAGCATTGGAACATAGACCCGATCCTGCAAGTGGTTGCCTCTTTGTACACTGGTCCGGGAGTACGAACAAGTTCTTTCCCAGGTAGACTTCTTCAGCTTCGTCGTGAACTTGCTTGCAAATCCGTAGTATGGCCAGTCGTGGAGCGCGGTAAGATTCCCAGTCCTTGAAACGTTTCTCGTTCTCGATAGCGTAGTCGTCAGGCGTGTAGAAGACCTTGCCAACAACGACCAGCTCTTCGTACACCATTATTCGGAGTTCGACAGGCAAGTCGAGGAACCGGAATGGAGTGAAGACGGTCGTGCCCTGAGGCGTCGTGGTCGTGACTGTAGTAACTGTTGTTATGGTCGTTGTCGCGGTAGCGGTAGTCTTTGTCGTAGTGACCACCGTGGTGTTGGTGGTCTGGGCCGGTGGCAGCAAGCTGATTGCGTCCATGGCTGTTGCTTTAATTACAGCTGACTTGAGCGTATTAGCACTGAGTCTGCAGGTGAACACGAACCCGGGCGGGGCGGTGAATTCGTCGTGTGGAGGTGGAGTGGAGGGAGTATAAGGGCAAGAAAAGGTCGAACTTGCGAAAGGACTGCTAACCTAGCAACTGCCAGTGAGAGGGTATACGAACACCTATAAAGTTATTTGTGTAGAAACAGGTCGAGCAGGTCACAAAGAAGGAGCTCGCCCAATTTCTTGCGCTACCTTGCCTTCCGTGGTCTTCGCTGCGCGGGTGCAGAATCAGTCGTCCAGTGCAAGCTTTTGAGAAGGTGGTGGAGGGTGGAAGAGTGAGGGTGAGAGGAAGCCGCGACCACAACTTACCTTGACCGCGTGCGTGACGTGACGTAAGCGGTACAATGCGGAAAGAGCGCCCAGTCAACAAACGGCATTCACTTCACACCTCCAACGACACTCAAATAGAAGCGGATATCTTTGATTATAAGTCTTGAAGAGAATGTAGGAACAGCAAAAGAGCCAGAACTTCGATAGCCACCATCCAGCCACACTCTAATCTTGAAACACAGCATACTAAACCAACAAGACCAGGCAGGAAGGGGACGGTATAGTGGTATAAAGGGCAGAGACACCAAGGTAAAGGATGTAGACAGGATTGAGAATTTGGAGTCTAAACAAAGCGCACCCGGGGCCTGAAAGTCACACCTAGGATATACCCTCTCATGCCACTACTGTAGAAAATGATGAGTCTAGCCATCATTGACCGTTTACCAAGATGCACCAATAACCACTAACCCCTGCCATTTTTGCGTCTGTTATCGGTTTTTCGAATTTATGCCTTGGCGTCGGCGGGAGCCTCGCTGCTCTCAGCCTTGGGCGCGTCGGTGGCGGGCTCGCCGGCGGGGGCGTCACCGGAGGGCTCGGCCTCGGACGATGTCCAGAGGGTCTGATGAGAATTAGCGTGTGTGAGGTAAACGGGCTGCGGACTGAACTTACGAGGTTGTCACGGAGAAGCTGCATGATGAGGGTAGAGTCCTTGTAGCTCTCCTCAGACAGGGTGTCGAGCTCTGCAGATTCGTTAGCCTTGTTCAGAACGACTACTTCGTCCTTCACATACCAGCAATGGCGTCATCGAAAGCCTGCTTGGCGAGTTGGCAAGCCTGGTCGGGCGAGTTGAGGATCTCGTAGTAGAAAACGGAGAAGTTCAATGCGAGACCGAGACGGATGGGGTGGGTAGGAGCAAGGTTGGAGGCAGCAACATCGGTAGCAGCCTTGTAAGCCTCGAGCGACTTGTCGGCAGAGGTCTTGCGCTTGTCACCAACGGCGAACTCGGCAAGGTAACGGTGGTAGTCGCCCTTCCTGGAGAAGACATGAAGATTAGCAAACTGGCTGGTCAAATGCACGTGGCGCCTTACATCTTGTGGTAGAAGACCTTGGACTCTCCGCTCTCAGCAGAGGGGATCAGGTGGCTGTCAAGGCACTCGAGGATGTCCTCGCAGATCTTGGCCAGCTCGGCCTCGATCTTCTGGCGGTACTCCTTGATCAGAGTAACCTGGGTCTCGTTGCCCTTGGACTCCTCCTTCTGCTCGATCGAGGTGACGATTCTCCAGGAGGCGCGGCGGGCACCGATGACGTTCTTATAGGCAACGGAAAGGAGATTTCGCTCCTCGACGGAGAGCTCCTGGTCTGCGGAGGCAACGGCCTTCATGTTCTCGACCATCTCTGTCACATGTCGTTAGGACACGATGCGGTGCGTTGTTTGTGGTGCGCTTACCCTCGTAACGCTCGGCCTGCTCGGCCAGCTTGGCCAGGTACACGGAGTCTTCGTAACCCATTGTGATGTGTGGTCTGTGCAAATCGCTGTTAGCTGATGTAAATCGAGTTGAAGCGCGCGACAAGTGCAACCAGTGGCTATCGCAGTTGCTCAACAGCGAGCAAGCCCCTCAATGTGCGCTATGGCCGGAATCGGAGAAAATGTCGTTTCGCTGCCGTTGTCGACTGTTCGCTGGCTGTCCTGCTTGTGTTGGGGGCTCGGAGTATGCGGCAAGTGGAGATATGCCAATTGCTTGCGTGGACTCTACACCTCACAACAGAGGCGCAAAGAGGGGCGGCTCGAGCTACCACGGGTCTCCGAAAAGAGCGCCGATACACGACACCCACGACAACAGCGGCGGAGCGACTTGAGACGAGCGATTTCGACAGCGGGCCATGCTGATGGGAAGAGCGGGCCTTGTTTACTGCGGCTGGGGGCGCAAATTGCAGCTGTCCGCGGATTCGGGGGGAGTGACGAAATGCAGTGGAGCAGCACTTACGTAGAGAAAAGTTGGTATGGAGAGGGAATGTAGGCTGCTAGAGGCGGCGATGTGGTGTTGGCAAGAAAGTGAAGTGCAGATGTTTTGGTCAAGGGCGGCTTGTGGTTGAGTTATCAGAGGAGGGGACTTGAGAGGGAGAGAACCCGACCAGTTGACTCGTCTTGGCGTCGATCACGCCTGCCTATCCTTGGTTTCACACGGCCCAGAACTGGCGCGACCTTCTATTCTGACAGGCGAACACCATCCGCCACCGCCTCAGCGGCCTCTTCCTGGCCTGAGTAGTACCTGCTGTTGTTTACAGGCTTGCAGAGTCGCCTTGGAGACGCTGTCGTCGAGTCCCTGAACAACATGCCCCGCAGTACACCCTTTCCATGACAGCTACAAGGACCGGGCTTCACGACGAGCATTGGGCATCACGTTTGGCCTTAAGCGCACATTGGCTCTGCCAGATAATGGATGCGATAGCTGTGAACATGCTAAGCATACGTCGAGCGAAAAAACTTGCCATGCTGTTTGGAAGGCGTTCAGATCAAGACCATGTTGCTGCAATCGATGTAGTGATACAAACCCCGAAGTCTTCTTGTCACATGGTGCTTGTTGTGCTTTTTATGCTGAAGCAACTTTCATAATTCAACAACACATCGACAGACGTGTCTCCAACGTTACCCCCCGTCTTCCTAGATATACAGGCGTATTATACTAAGAGGTCATGCGCGTACCAAACTGTCGAGTGGGCCAGGCAACGATGTTGAGACCCTTCGAAATCACGTGGCGATGACGCACTTGCACGTCCAAGCTCCCATGTCTTCCAGATGTCGAGCCATCACTCCACCTCAGCATACCAATTGCATATAACCACCCAACACCCAGCATCTCATCTCTCTAACGATCCGCCAAAATGCTTCGCACATCCATCATCAAGAGCGCGCGCTCAATTGCCGCTCCTCGCTACTTCTCCGCCTCCGCCCTCCGCATGGCTGAGGGCTCCACCGGCTCTGGAGCTTCAAGGGCTACTGGTGCCGCTGGCGGGTGAGTCTATGCTCATGAACTGTAAACCCTATATCCAGACTAACCGGTATTGTAGTGACGCCTTCACCAAGCGCGAGGCTGCCAGCGAAGAGCTCTACATCCGCCAAGAAGAGAAGGCCAAGTACGTACTCCAGCTCTCTATATCCCGATATCCCGATGATTACTTCGCACCGTTTCAGACCGCGCAATGATCCGGTACAACGTGCTGCCATTGTACAACGTTCTGACAACAAACAGGCTTCTCGCAATCAAGGACAAGCTCAAGCAGCAAAGGCAGCACATGGAGGATTTGGACAAGCACATGTCAGTAATCATAGCTTGGCGATAGACAAGACTAACAACAACACAGCGACGACGTCATTGCTGAGTCTGAGCGCTCCGGCCAGGGCGAGCAAAAGTGAGCGCGTAGCGGGTGCTCCGGACGAATATCGCGGGCCGACCCATACGTCGTGTTATACTTGCTATGATAAACAATAAAGATATCGAAAGAACTTGAACTTGGCAATTGGGCTGTTGGACTTCACGGCAGATGCTTGCGTTATCTCGTACTTGCTTCTTCATCTCGTCCTTGTTCGTGTCAGAGAGAGCATGGGTCTGAATACTTCAAGGTCTCCTTCCCAGCACATATGTGGGCCTGCCATCTCAACACTCGCACCTGCCACTTTGAGGATTGATAGGTTCTTCACCGCAGGATACTCCAAAGTTGCCCTTTTCGTTCAGTGTGCATCTGTACATCTGTACATCACGTTTCAGCATACATCAAGCGAAGTACTACCGAACGATCACGGAAACTTTCGGTATCACGCGGAAGTGCGTCACTCGCTCTGATTCGTTCGAGTAGGTTGTTTCTCGGATTATTACAACGTCAGCTCATCGAAGATCTGGAGCCCTCGGGATCCACTACATGGATACAACCCGGGATACTCCAGCCACCACCCCGCTCGAGGCTGGATCACAACTCGATATTTCCCGTTTTGTTTTTCTGCCGCGAAGGATCTGACGACAACACATCCTCGTATTCAGGCCCGCTGCTCCAGCCTCCGATATCTGGAGCAAGTGCTTACGCAGCCTCGCGCAAAGTCTGTCATCGCACAATCGGCCGGAGAGCGGAGAACGTGACTCCGTTGCGCCGCCTAGAACATAGTTCACTGCCGTGTGATACCGCTGCATCGGTATGGTCGATCGTGAAATTCGGTCATCTCTCCAGGCGCATTCGCAGTGTCGAATATAGACTTTACTCCTTTTTCGCGAACATGCCGACTGTATGAACGCCTGACTGCCTAGGCCTCCAGACCGCCGTCATTGTTAGCCCATTTCAAACGCCTTCCGTGTTCACGCAGCTAGGCGTTTTACTTTTGTTAGCGAAACAGGTACTTGGGCTTGTAATCGTGCGAGCCGCAGGGATCCCACTAGCACGTGTGGCAGATAGCCGACATCTTACCACGAACATCCCGGCTGCGATCACAACTACAAGCGACTACCCTGTGAACGTTCGAGTAACTTTCAAGATCGTGCTGCGTTCTCATTTGGCCGCCGCCGTCGTCCGTTCGAATTAACCGTTGGCCCAGCCCTCTGACAACCTCCTCTTCACCCCCACCAGGTGAACCATGCTTCTTTCACAGGATGCCCCATGCCACCACCAAGTACATC